AAAAAAAAAAAAAAAAAGATACACCTCTTCAACTACAAGTTTGGTGAATTTTATTTTTTGAAATTTTAGAGTTAAGTTATTTTCAGATTACTTTCTGTCCATTTAAATATTGGAGCAACTCCTATCATATGTTTGTTTTAATGCAGTGTATATGATACTTCTTGGTTTTAGCCATAATAAATGGCATTACCAAGGAAATCACATATTTTCTGACTAAGTAGTAGATGATTTGCTAGGCATTTATACTAGAGACCAACTAAAATAAATGAGAGCTAAAATATCAGCATCTAAAGACATTAAAAATGAGTAGCTATAGTAAATAATCATTATTTTCATGGCATTTAATAAAAACAGCTTCCCAGCTCTTTGCGAGAATGTGGGAGTGGGGTGTTTTCATGCCTAGTAAGTAATTCCAGCAGGAAAACACCGACTGATGACTGCAAGCTGACGTCTTTGTATTGGGGTTCAGTGTATTTTAGTAGACTCTGCCAAGCTTTGCTGCTGACCAGCATTCATTTTTTTAGTCCGTTTCTGCTTCAGAACTAGTATAAAGAGTCCAGGTTTTGCAAGAAAACTGTGGCATAATTACAAATGAGCTCCAGTCCCCCACAGCCCATTCTCAGAAAAGGACAACACAGATGTAAATAAAAATCTTGAGTCATCCAGCCAAAATTTTTTTTTTAGGGGATGCATTTGGACAAATTATACAGGCCACTTGTGCCTCCTATTTATGTCTGGTGATTTTACATCTAGCACTCAGTGATGCCATAATAATCCAGAGGAGTCCAAGGAACTTGGTTCTACAATTAGGGAGCACTTGAGACGTCAAGCAAACTCAGATACTCAGGCAGTTACTGCCTTTGAGAAAAAAGTTATTGACTTTTTCTGAGAACACGCCATAGCTATATTCCTTAAAAATTCTAAGACTATTTATACTTGTGATGTTCTAACATTTTTTAGAGCATTTTAAAAAGTGTTTTATTCACTGAGATGTTTAAGAATGGTCAAGAATAAATGTCAGTTTGAATATATATGAGAGTTAATGTGAAAATATAAACAATCATTATAAATCAGTAAAAAATCTCTGTAATAAGAAAATAGTATAAACTGATAATTAATAAAAGAAATGCAAATGACCACTAGACCTAGGACAAATGTTTAATGTCATCAGCAATTAAATAAAAATTTGAGCAATGAGTTATTTGCTGTTTTCATCTGTCAAGTCAAGAATATTGAAAATCCTGAAAGTTGGTACAGATGAGAAGCATGGCTCCTCTAGTGGAAAGATAGAAGGAATGAGTATAGTCTTTCTGCAAGACAATGGAACAATATATAAAGAACCTTTAAAGGGTAGTTTCTGATTAAACAATTTGGCCCCTAGGTATTTATGCTGAAAAATCAGTTAGGCAAGAAGGCAAATATTTACGTATAATGCTGTCCATTGGTTTCTAGTGGCAGAAAAATAAGAAGCAACACATATATCCATCGCTAGAGTATTGGTTAAAGAATTTATGACCACATCTATGCAGTGGATCATTAGGCAGCCATTAAAAATATTCTGATAAGGATAGGAATGGCTAATGTAAAAGCAGGAAATATTTTATTCATCCTTGCATTGTCTAAGTACCAGCTTGGCCCATGATATTTGATTTAAAGATGATATTCCTCAGGGAGATATGATGTGCTCTTTTCTTCCCCTTGGATTCCTGAAATTCTCCTTATTTAATCACATAGTGATCAGAGTGGTAGTCAAATTTGAGGGTGGTATGAAATATGATGGACGTTTTTCCTTTTTCTCACCCACAAACTCTTCTCATGTCCTTGGATAATTTCGATCCTTTTGAGGAGATTCTAGAAGATATCCTGAATATAGTTTCTTCTTACCACCTTCACGCCCAATGCCATGGAGATAGCCACCTTCACATCTCATCTGTATTTCAGCAATGGCTTCTTGACAGGCCTTACTTGGTCTATCTTATCCCTTATTCTCAACATGATCCTTTTAAACCTGTGAGATCATATTATTCCTCTGCTCAAAACCTTGCAAAGACTCCTATGTCTTTCAGAATCAAACCCATACTCCTTAAAATGGCCTGCAGTGACCCTATGATTATTATGACACTGTCTCCTGTTATTTCCTCCTTTACCTCCTCCGCTCTTGTGAACCCACCTCATGCCGTCTCTCCAACAGGCCAGGCATGTTCCGGCCTTCACCTCCCTCAGTACCTTTAGGACTGTACCTAAATCTTGTCATGCCAATGAGGTGAGGCCCCATTTGCCTGCCCTATTTAGTCCTGCAACCTGCCCTTTCCCTGCCTCAGGAATGCCATTTTCTTTCCCCTGCTCTGCCTCACTTTTTTTCCTTAGCCCTTCTCATTTAACATGCACAAATGAGTTTCTTTTATGTTTGTTGTTTTTATCCTCTCAACTTGAATGTAAGCTTTATAAAGGAAAGCATCTTTAGTTTGTTCGCTGATGGATCCCAAGCTGCTAGAAGGGTGATTGGCCACTGTTGAATGCTACAAATGTATATATTTATTGAATAGCTTGAATAGAAAGTAATTATATACATATATTAATGGTAATTATATTAGATAATTTTCACAGAGCATGTATGACATGCTAAGTGGTATATATGTATCATCGCATCCAACACTTCCAATGAACTTATGAAGCAGGTATAATTAAGACCAGCAAGTTACAGATGGGGAAACTGAGCATTAGAAACATGAAAGCACATTGTCTCAAAAGCAATATAATTTAGATCTTAGATATAAATCAATTAAGTCTGACCCCCCTATTCAAGCAGAACAATGTTTCTTCTATATTGTTTATTTCTTGTAATTCCATAGAATTTCATTTGGGAAGGGGGGTTTTCCTATGTAAATATTTTTGGCAACCACTGTCCTAGATATTTTAACCAAACCAAAATTTACAGTGGCAATTCTAGGCCTTTAGCAGATGTTCATGTGATTAAATTGTGACATTTGGACTAACTGCCCCCCTCCTGCCACTTAATACTTGGTTTTAAAGAAAAAAAAATAAACAACTTTTGCAAATTTTTTCTATTCTTATAAAAATAATTCTATACTTGAATTCTCCATTTTGTTGTGCTAGGTTTTCTTGTTCGAGTTCTGCATCTTTGGCCTGCATTAGTTCCAGTGACTGTCCTCTCACTCTCCCCATTCTCTCTTCTAGGAGAATGATATAAACCTGACCCACATTGAATCCAGACCTTCTCGTTTAAAGAAAGACGAGTACGAATTTTTCACCCATTTGGATAAACGTAGCCTGCCTGCTCTGGCAAACATCATCAAGATCTTGAGGCACGACATTGGTGCCACTGTCCACGAGCTTTCCCGAGATAAGAAGAAAGACACAGGTGAGAAGTAGAGAAATTTTGCAACATAAGTAACTCCACACTATCTTCATAAAATACTAGCAATGTTTAAATATATGTATATTTCATGTATGTATTGCTATTATTTTATGGAAGTAAAATAATATATATGTGTTGGAAATAATGACTGGAGGATTAAATGAGTGGATGTAGATTGGGGACCTAGACAAGTGCCTGGTGTATTTTAGACATATAACGAATATTGGTTCTTTCTTCCCTTCCTAAAGATAGCTATTTTTTTTCTTCATAAACTTTTAAGGTTTTTTTTCTGATTTTTTTCTTTTGATGTTTATTTTAAATTCAAGGGCTGTATGTATAGGTTTGTTACATGGGTAAATAGTGTGTTATGGGGATTTGGTGTACAGATAATTTTGTCACCCGAGCAATCAGCATAATATCCAATAAGTAGTATCTTAAGTTTCAACAAAACCAATGAAAATAAGCAATGGGGAAAGGACTTTCTATTCAATAAATCCTGCCGGAATAATTCAAAAGCCATATGCAGAAGATTGAAACTGGATCCCTACCTTTTACCATATACAAAAATCAACACAAGATGGTTGAATGGATTTTTGAATATCTCCACTCCAACCAGAGAGATCTCCCCAAGTCCTTTTAATAACATGACAGTGCCAGAGCTGGGACTGCCTGGCTCCTTGTTCCTAGGGCTTTCATTGTCCCTTTCCATCTTCTTATCTGTCTCTTCTACTCATACGAGCTCCTTGTGAGCAGGTGACTCTCTTACTTACATTTCTGTACTCAGAGTTTAGCACAATGCTTGGTACACAGGTGCTCTGCAAATATTCCCTAATGAGTGACTAACATAGGAATTGCCAAACTTGCATTGTCCCATTATTTACATACTGAAATGCTACCCATCCTCTGGAGGGGAAGAGAGTGATAGAGTGTAGGAATTCTAAGTGTGGCCTTGAAGTTGAATAGACTGTGGCTCAAGCCCTACTTCTTCCACATACCGACTTTGAGACCCCTGACATGTTGCTTTAACTGTCCTGACCTCAACTTTTCATAAGGCATGTGTGAGGATTAAATAAAATCATACATAAACAATGCTTAGAACAGTGTCCTGGTGCATTATAAGGTTGGACAAATGATAGCATGTGGTTGCTATTATGATTCTGATTAGCCTGAAAGCAATACAGAGAAGCAAGGTGACTGCTTTTTAGGACCCAAAGCATATTCAGATGAACCATGTTTTAATAGATTTTTTTTAAAAAGAGCAGTATTAGGCTTACAGAAAAATTGTACAGAAAGTACAGAGAGTTCCCAGGTCTTTCCTCCCCACCTCAGCTTCTCCTATTAACATCTTGCATTAGTGTGGTATTTTTTTCTTTTTAAAGTTGATGAACCAGTAGTGATATATTATCACTAACTGAAGTCCATAGTTTACATTCAGGATTATGCTTTGTGTTTTACTTTGTTACTGGTTTTGGCAAATGCATAATGTCATGTATCTAGCATTTCAATGTCATACAAAATAGTTTCACTGCCCTAAAAATGCCCTGTGCCCTAGCTGTCCATTCCTTCTTCCTTACATACTTCCTCCAGCAACCACTGATCTTTTTAGTAGTTCCATAGTTTTGCATTCTCAAGAATGTCACATAGTTGAAATCATACAGTACATAGCCCTTTCAGACTGGCCTCCTCCATTTGGCAATACATATTTATAGTACCTCCATGTCTTTTTGTGACTTGATAGCTCATTTCTTTTTGTTGCTGAATAATATTCCATTGTCAGGATGTACCACAGTTTATTTATTCATTCACCTATTGAAGGACATCTTGGTTGCTTCCAATTTTTGGTGATTATGAATAAAGCTGTGAAGAAACATTTATGTGCAGGTTTCTGTGTGAAGATACATTTTCAACTGACTCGAGTAAATACCTGAAAATGTTATTGTTGAGCTGAAGGTTTTTTTAAAAATTATTTTTTTTCCTACTTATAAAATCAAGTTTCTTTCCAAAACACTTGGAAAGACTTTGGTTCAAGAGGAGTTCAAGCACCATAGCTGAAAGAAGCATCTTAATATGCAGAGATGCTTTAAATGAAACAACACCCACCCTGTAAAACAGGTCACTGAAACATTTATTAAAAGGTAGCTCCATGGCCTTTCTAGGAGACTTGTCTCCGCCTTCATTCTCCTGGGTATAACCAAGGCAAGGAAGGCCCACCCCAGTGTTCTGCCCTTGCAGAGGGTGGACAGCCATGCAGATGGGCTTAGGACCCTGGAGGGCAGGCACTTGGAATGCTTCCCTGGGTCAGCCCTATCTGCCTTCTTTCCCTTTCGGCCTCCCAAGCTGCTTCCCCAGTGACTGCCCTCTTTGCATTTTTCCGGCCACCTGCTCTCAACAGGAGCTGCAGACCCTCTGGACAAAGGACTTGCCAGATCCTGGGGCAATTCTGCCTCTGGTTGGAGCCGGTGGAGGCTGGGCCAGCTGGGGCCACGGGGGAAGAAATCAAAGCAATTTACAGGCAGGCAGCCAGCCCCTGGAAGAGCCAGCAGCCCGAACTGGAGGCTCAGAAAGGAGGTCCTTAGCAGGGATATAAAGGGGGAGTTAGGAGCTCAGATTCAGGAACCATTGTGACCACACTTGGTGTGACTTTGAGCAAATCACTGACCCTTGCAGTCTCCCAGTGTATCAAAGGGGAGTCACAAGAGCCTCTGCCTTATAGGATTTGTGAAATCACACAAATGAAGCACTGGGAACAGAACAGAGCCTGTTTAAGGAATTAAAGACATTCTGTTCTTAACATTATCATCATCAGTATTATTATAAACACTGGCATGAGCACAAGAATGGCCAAAATGCAGGCTGTACACGGCTACTTTTTCAGAGAGTCTGGCAACTGAAAAATGACCTGAGAGGTCACACAGCCCTACAGACCCCTTCATTTTTCATTGTGAAAACAGAGGCTGTGACTTGCCTCAAGGCAAACAGTGGATTCTGGAGGGTCCTGGGCAAGGGTGTGTTGAGTGCAGCTCTGTGCTGGGTACAGTGCTAGGAGAGAAAGGGTCAAACTGCCTGTTCTTAAGAAGCTCATAGCCTGGTAAAGGGGATGAGACACCCAGGTAAGTAGAATAGAGGGACAGGTGCTGTGATGGAGACAGGGTTGGTGCAATTCGGCCTGTTTTCCACTTGTGTTTAGCTCTGAGGATCCAGGAAGTATCAAAGTAAAAAAGCTTTTTTTTTTTTTTTTTTTTTTTTCTTGAGACAAAGTCTCACTCTGTCACCTGGGTTGGAGTGTAGTGGAGCGATCTCTGCTCAGCGTAACCTCTGCCTCCTGGATTCAAGCGATTCTCCGGCCTCAGTCTCCCTGAGTAGCTGAGACTACAGGTGCATGCCACCACACCCAGCTAATTTATATTCTTAGTAGAGATGGGGTTTCGCCATGTTGGCCAGGCTGATCTCGAACTCCTGACCTCAGGCGATCCGCCCACCTTGGCCTCCCAAAGTGCTGGGATTACAGGTGTGAGCCACCGTGCCCAGACTAAAAAGCTAATGTTTTCACATAGAGGCAGTGTGTAAAAATTGGGCTTATTGGAGCCTGGAGGTAGCACAGGTTCAATTCCCTAACGGGGCTTCTGAATTCCTTGCTCGAAATGGCAAGGTTGTTGATATTTGAAGCGGGATGACATTTTCCCTAGGGAAGAAAAACTGGCAAAAAACTGGCTAAGACCAACCCTTTAAAACAACTTGTGTTTTGTGATTCTTACTTCTTCAGATGATCGGTCACCCAATCCCATAGCGGCTGCCCCCACCTGACTTTAACTTATCTGTAATGAGACAGCTGATGCGGACGTGCCATGACCTGGCATCTCCCGAGAAACACTCTTTGGGTTTCTGTGGTAGTTTCTGTAAAGTGGGGTCTGGGCCAAGAAACAGGTCTTTTTAGGGGGAGCAACCATTCCTTTGCAAAGTTGCTGTTTCTATAGGACTCAGTGGGAGAGCAGTCAGAGGAAGAAAAGCATTGTAGTAGATCTGAACCTTTGATTCTTTCTGCGGACAAAATGCCCTTTTTATTGAGGAACTCAGATCTCAGAGGCAAGTCTGACAGCAGGTTCAAGTAGGAGATCTGAACCCCTCAAATCAATTAAGCTAAACCACTTTCCACTTTAGTTTTTAAACCATTCAAAAAGCCATGTGAGTGATAGAAAATAAAAGTTTTTCAGTTTCTTAATTGCTTAAGTTCCCCACCCAAAACAGCTTAAGAGACGGTTAATTACAGCGACATGGCAAAGAAACCCCAACCTTCTCAAATGCCTCCTAGAGAAGCTGATGTGAATTTAATAGGATTTTAATCCAGGGAGTCTTTTGAATACTTGAGGTCTATTCTCCTGCTACTCTCTTTCCTGATGACCTCAAATCCTTCTTCAACCCAACATGAAAGAGCATTAATATCTTTCATCAATCAATCTACTAATCCTTTTACCTTTCCCTTTAAGTTGACTGCATGACATTACATTTACTGGGGGCTAGAAAATTCCTGCATGGAGACAGATTGCAGCCAGGAGAAGCAGACAGATGAAAGTCTTGGGTAGAGAGAGGTATACAAACATCACCTTTTGAGAAAAATGTTTGGAGTTATTTTCCAAGAGCAGATAAACATTTATTGGATTTTGTTTAATTTATAGTGATTATAAGGGTCCTGGTGGGGAAGAAAAGTGAGTCCAAATTGCTAGAACAACTGCAGGTTCTGTGACTGTGGAAAGCAGGAAGATCTATGTGCCTGTCTGTCTGTCTGTCTGTCGATTTATCTATCCATCCACCCATCCATCCATCCATCCATCTACCTATCCATCTATCTATCCATCCGTCCATCTATCTATCTATCATCTATCTGTCTATCTTGCCTGGGGACACTTGTGATTACTGTGAGAAGACAAAAGCAATATCAGTATAGTTATCCCTTCTCTCTTGTTGCCTCTCCTTGCCTTCTTGATTTTTTTCTGCTACAACGTTGC